AAACACAATAGAACATCTTTTTTACCTGGAACCCCAAGTAGCTACTTTTTTTCCAGCCACTGGAACCCCACCGGTAGCCCAGACTTTGGCGAACGTGGCTGGCCTAGCTGGGGATCCAGGTAGTCAGTGGTTGACTACTTTTTCCAGCCACGCTACCCACTAGTAGCCCAGAATTTGGCGAAAGCGGCTGGAAAATGAAGAAATGCCTTCCTGGGGATTGGTTGACACGGTACCAATTCAACCAGCTGCGTCTTTGGAGCAAACGGGGACCTGAGAATTGAGCGAACCGGTGAGGCTGGTCGATTGGGTTTGTCTTGGGGGGTCTTGTAGAGGTACATGGGAAACCACCTCCTGACCACCAAATCACCAATCCAAACCACCAATTAGGTGGAAGCTGAGTCAATACCGATCCCTTTAGTCAGTTGACATGATGCCAACTCAAAATACTCGCTTTTTTCAGGGTATGTTTGGGAGAACCGATCGGTTTTTTCATGGTAAATACCCGATCCCTTTTTTGGCCCTGAAAAAGGGCCAGGTATTTGGTACCAACTCAAAAGAGGTGGGTCTTTGGAGCAAAACGACCAAGTCACGGGAGTTGGTTTGTTTTTAGCCGGGTTGAGCATGGGGTTGTGCGGGCCTGATTTCTAATTGGGGCTCATTGCACATCATCGACATGGTCGCGAGGAGGTACTTTCCGTGGAAAACCATTTTTTTTAATCGAAAGAAAACCCGAAAAGAACGGGTATATGAAGTAATGTTGACTTCATCTTAATCAACCAGCCAGCTTCAGGATTAGTGGGGAATCAGACCACTTCAGGAGAGCGCCTTCGCTATTCATAAACTTGGGTTGATTACTCTGGGGTCAACTTTACCCTTTTTCCAACAATCATGGAACTGGATACGGACAGATTCCTAGTGATGGGAAGGAGCATGGTATAAGTCAGTCCACCACTTGGACACCTCAGTTCGGGGTTTTTCGGTTATGACAATTCCATGGCGTTTCCATCGAAGCCATTTTTCTCCCAGACCTTTGTACCCATCGCCAGACCGGAGGAGTGTGAGCTTTTGAGGTCCCACTCGATGTTCTCGCCTGAGATTCTGGGTGCCGGAACCAAGTGGCAAGTGGCAAGTCGTTCAGAAATTCGATTCATGTCAGTTGAAGACCTGGCTCCCGCAGAACCTAGCCATAGAAATTGCTGAACTCACAAATTGCTCAGGGCTGGCATCTTCGGGTCCAGCTAAAAAAGGACGCAAGGGTGACCTTTCCTCCCCCCCTCCCCCCCCCAAAAAAAAGCGCTTTCGGGGTTTCCCTTCTGGCTTTTTCCGCCAAGCCCACGCAAGCCAAGCCTCGAAAGAAAGGCACCTGGACCCTCAAGCTAAAACTGGGTACCCTCCCACCAGCAAACATGGGTTTGTGCACAGACCCCTGTAGAAAGACTACTTTCCTCTTGGACGGTTAGCCTTTTTGCACAAACCCATGTTAGTTGGTGGGAGGGTAGTTGCCCTGCAATTTGTGGGGTCCAATTCTAACGGGGAAAAACGTTTGGGTCCAGACAGCCGACCCATCTTTTGCCTTCGCAAGGAGAAGGCGGCGGTCCCGCGGTGGCGCCCGGCGACGCTTAACCGTTTGACGGATGGAGCTGTTTGGGTTTTGGTGGTTTTGGTGTTGGGGCCTCCAGGCCGTCTTAGACGTGTTTTCCGAGGCTTTCTTGAGGTCTGCTTGGATTTGGGGGTTCATTTCAGGATATGTTGCTTGCTTGAAGAGTTCTATTGGATGTTTGAGCATGCTTCAGGGCTTGGTGTTCGAGGCTTCCGTGAGTTGAAACATCTAGGTTTCGGGCTTTGAGGAAAAGCCAGGGGCATGTCCTCCACACGAAACACACGAGGAGGATTTTTGCCATGGCAACGTGGGAGGAATGGTACTCCCTAAAAAGCTCCAAATACCTGTCTTTTTGTAGCTTGCATTTTTTGATCAATCCGTGTTCCAGGGTACATACATCCCTTTTTTGGTAAAGGGTTGACATGATACCCCCTACTCAAAATACCTGCTTTTTTCAGGGTATTTTTGGGAAAACCTGGTTTTCCACGTACCCTAAAGACAAGCAGGAAATGCGGACCTTTCAGGGGGTAAACCGCCGCTTTCCGCCGAATTTTCCGCCAGGCGAACGCCATTCTACAGGCCGTTGATGGGTCGATCTGCGGTGGTTGGGTTGGGTTGTTTTGGTGAGAGATGCTGCAGTGGGGATTGTCTTTTTTGGTGATTTTTGTTTGGTGAAGGGAGGGGGCCGGTTTTTTTGGGTTTCTCTGGTAAATACCTCCTTTTTGAGCAGAGGGCGGACATCATATACTTAAAACAAAGGGTGGGTATTTGGAGCGGGGGGTTAGGCAATTCCCGGGGTTTGTGGCGCAACTGGGGTTAGTTCACTTGCCATTATCACCTAGCTGCTAAGTAGGTTGGGCATCCCCTTACCCTCCCTTCTAACATGCGGTGGATGCTCTAAATATTTCCACTGAGGGCTGGTATGATTGGTTCATCGGTTGTTCCTTGCTTTGAAACTTATCCACTGCAGTTTCATGCCCGGAAAACGAATTGATCTCTTCCGTGGTCCGTAACCATAAAATACCAGCCGGCTCTTTTCAATTGTGATGTCAGGCTGCTTAGTACTCGATATTCTATCCATGGCTTCAATGCTCAACCGACCGGCTTCCCCCAAGAAATCATGAAGCTTAACCCCCCAAGCTTACCAAGATTTGCGTTTAGCTTGCTGAGAACGACGACTTGTCAGCCCATTTTGCCCAAGAGCTTCTTACAAGTGGTTTCGCAATATCAGTGGAAGTCTGAGCACATGCTTGTTTTCAGGCTCGTCTCCAAGAAACCGAATCAGGAGGTCCAGCCCAACCAATCTAGATTGAATATTACACCCAAAGTCGGTTTCATTGGAATGCTTGTAGCTGGCGACGCCGGCGAACACGAAGAGGAGCCGACAAAAAGCCCCGTCATTTTCATGGAGCGCCCGCAAATGAACCGTTTGCGAGACATCATTGCCTTCATTTTCGCCCACTCCAGGAGCACCAGGTTAGAGTGGTCCCTGGCTAGGCCGCGCAAAAAGACCGCCCAGTCTGATACAGACTTCAACCCTTGCCTTAGCGCTGGGCGTTGGAGCAAGATGGGACGCAGACCTTTCATTTTTGAGCCCGGCCCGTGGCGAAAGCTGAATCGACTCGCGGAGCGAGAAATACCAACTGGTTGCTTCTCGAAGCAACCCCTGTACCGATCGGTTTTTCCGCCAAGATAGGCAAGGGAACTAAGCATGAGGTACGCGATCATGCCTATTTTTCCGCCAAAACCAGGAGGTTTCACCGATCGCGTGGATCGCCCCTTGAAGTCTTCGGGCCCGTTTGCTTCCGCCAGTGCCACGCCCCCGGTGCTGCTGGGACCCGGAGGCGCTGGGTTGCGCTCCATTTCCGATTTCGGGGAAGGTCCTGAGTTGATGGGGGCCTTCAAGGGGGTGTCTTGTTTTGGGTGGGCGGGAACCAAGAGGAAACCATATTTTTTGGGAAAACCATGGTGTCTCACATTAGAAAGGAAAACCATGTTTTTTGGGTTGTGCGCCCTAGAGAGAGAGAGAGAGAGAGAGAGAGAGAGCGCCCTTTCGGGGATCCCGGTGTTTTGCAACCCTCAGAGTGGTGTGTCCAAGGGCAGCCCCCCCCCCCCCCCCCCCCCCCAGTTTCTGACCAAAGGATCACCGCCAGTCAAAACAACAACACCGGTTGATGGGAAGGGAGCCCATTGTTTTGGGGTAAAGCAACGCTCTCAAGCAAATATTTGCATGGATTACGGGTAAAACATATCTTTGAAGCAGAATATTGACACCCTTTTGATTGGAACGCTCCTTTTGAACATGTCAAAGCCTGCGGGAAGCTAGTGCCAAACGTTGAGAAAGGACGGATAGCTCGAGTTTGGGGCGTCAGCATCATGTGAAAGTCTGCTTCATGAATCTTAAGCTATTCTCTCCGGGTTTTTCAAGGGAACTGGTTTCACTATGGTGGTTTGGGGAAGGAATGCTTCATTGGGACTGGGTGCTCCTTTCGCCTTCGTCCATCCGAATTTGGGTCAAGTGGTCAGCGGATTCCCTTTGAAAAGTCCCTCGCTGCCCGTCGGAGCAAAGTGAGGCCCATTTCCTTGCGTGAATTCTTCAACTGGGCTTGTCTCAAAAAAATCGGGAACCCCAAAGAAGTGAGTTTTCCTTCTGGTTTCCTTTTTGAACCAGCCGAAAAAAGGGACCCTTCAAAACGACAGACCCCATTCAAGTTGCGGAAGCATGGGTGCTTCGGTCAAGAGGTCGGGGCCAGCCAAATCTGCCGTCGCGGCAATTTTTCCAGCTAACATGGAACCATCTCGGACCCGTTCTATTGGCAGTATTTTTGGGACGAAGCAATGAAGCAGGACCATGTTGCCGCAAGTCAATGAGGTCCAAGATCACCAGCAAACCCTGGCGGGTCTTGGTTTGGGAACCCCTGGAGCCCTCTTTGCTTCCCTGCATAGCAAAAATTGCTCGAACTGGGTCTGCCTGAAACTTGGTGTTTTGGGGACCACACGCCCGTACGGACCTGCCAAAGGGTGTGTTTTTGCTCGGTTTCGTAGCGACTTTCGGCTTTTCGGTCAACCCTCCCCACCAAGCACAGGTTCAACTTTGTGGCGCGTGGCGTAAAAAAAAAGTTAGCTCCAAACAGCAAGGCTTTTCGGCGAACTTGGTTTAAGCAAGCCTTGCAAAGAGGGACCCAATATGGGATTCCAACATGTTCAAATCTTTTATGGAATCCCGTGGGGTATGTACGTTAGGGGCGGTGGGTAGTGGAGAGCCCAGAATCGGGTTCCTTAGGTTCCCGAAATGGGTTGCTTAGGGAGCCTTAGGGAACCCCTTGGACCACTCCCACCCCAAAGAAGATTCCCTAATTCGTCGACTCGGGCCACTGGTTGCACTTACCTCGAGCAAGGCATGATGGACAACCGGAAGCAGGCGAGTTGCGGTTTTTTGGTCGGAGATGCCTCAACTCAGGTGCCTCTGAATTGGTGGTTTGGATCGGTGGGTTGGGGGCAAAGGACCCCGAGTTCCTTTTTTGTTTTTAAGGGTGCCTTTCCAAACCAAACCGCCAATGGGAGGAACATCGGAGAATAGGGAGCCGGGACCGGATTTGGATAGAGAAGGGGTCCTTCTCTTGCACTCCCTGCTCCAAATACCCGCTTTCTTTTGGGTATGATGTCAACCCTTTGCTGAAAAAGGTTGTTCTTTAACCCAGGTTCTTCAAAACATATCCAAATGAAGCGGGTACGTCGAGCAGGCGGTACACTCCCTGCAATGGAAGCTAACCACGTCAAGAATGGGATGGCATTTTTTTTCTCACCGGACCAGTTGGAAAGGCGTCAATCTGTCAGAACCTGGGTGTGTCTCAAAATTGGGGATCCCTAGAATCTTCAGTTCCCTTTGAGTTCCAAACAAGGCCAACAATGGTACTGGGCCTCCAACAGCGACACCCCCCCACCTGCGTATTTCTACACAGTCTGGCCCTTGAACATTTGTGCACGGAGATTCTCAGGAGATTTCTTTCACGACTTCCATCTGAGCTTCAGGATATTTTGCATTTTGCCCTGGTTTTAAAGGAATCGATTTCAGTACTCATTTTTTTCAGGGGGCTTAAGCAAGTGGAAGAAGATGGGTGTTGATGGTTGTTTTCCATTCTATTTGCTGAGGGGCAACCTTAATAGGGGACCCAACAATTCGGGACACCTCCCCCCCCAACTAAAGCAACACTCACGTGCCACTCCAAATACCCACATGTTTTAGGGGCTTGTTTGGAGAACCGGGAGTGCTACGGTAAAATTACCTCCTCTATTTTTAGAGAAGGGCGACCGTGAAGGAAGTGCGTATTTTGGAGTCTGGTTTCTGTTGTTTTCCTTGGGCCCAAGGAGATAGGAGACGTGCGAAGGATCGAAGGATTTGAGAAACCGGGTCAACCAACTCTTGTTCATCTCCTGTCTTGCAATCTCCTTTGGGTCTCCTGTTTCAAGTAAGCCCATGGTTTCAAGAGTCTCCTTTTGGCTTCCTGGTTCACCAATGGTTCGGGCCCGGAGAACACCCATCACACATTGTCTCAAGACATTTTGCGGTGCCCAGCTGTTCGGTTGAGCTTTTAGGTCTTCAGGGCCTGAAGGGGCCCTAATCGGGTTCAATCTTCCAAGTGGTGAAGACTATTTTTTGGTTTTTCCCTGTTGGGCTTAAAGTGAATCTATGACTACTGGACAGATTTTTATTTTTTATTTTTCCCAGGGGACTCAAGCAAATGGAGGTAATCGTAGGGTTTCACTGGTTGTTGGGGTAAATCTATTTTTTTTTAATCAGCCGCCGCCTTAGTTATTTTTTGTTGTTTTAGTTGGTCTGGCGTGGAATTCACATTCGTTTTTGTTTTTGCTTTCAGTTGGTTCAGTGGTTGGGTTTCCGAATTTAACCCTTTCACCGACATTCCGCTCGTAGCAGGGGATCGCAGGCGAACGGCCCAGTCAAACTGCCAGACTTTCCTTTTTGCTTCCCAGAAGAAAAGAACAACGCAAACAAACAGAAGCAGGGCTCCTTAACAGATTAGCATTTTGCAACCATTTGAAGCATGTTGCTTTTTCAACACCAACATAAAGTTGGAAGCCTCCATTTACAAGTTGCCATGTTCGATCGGTGTGTAGTGCATCCGGATCCCTGATAAGCAAACCACGAAGCCCTGCCCCGCTCCGGGGGTCTGGATTTCTAGAGGCGTTTTGGTTGTAGGAAGAGTGGACGTGAAGAATCTCCATCTCTGACTTTGGGTAAGAGGAACACCCATGTGCAACCCAATGGATCTTAGTTGCCCATAGTAGGTGACCTCAGGTACACAGCTAAAAATCAGGATCCCGGATGGAAGTCTGACGAACGAATCTGGAGGTCTGTTCAAGCACGATGGTCGAGAAGGGAAAAGGGCATCCCCCAAAACCACCCTTTGTCCAAGGGGGGTGTCGGGGGGGGGGGGGGGGGGATCTTTGTTGGGGTGCATTTCTTTGCCATCAAAGTCACCCGGGGTTAAAGGGACGCAGGCAGTTGCTGACTTTGATATACCCCAGAAACAGTCAAAATCGGGAAGCAGTCGAAACCAACCAGAGGCAAAGCCACCCTAGCTGTGAGGGAGCATGGTTGCCTGATGGGTGCGATAGGTGATGAGCCCCAGCGAGAAGCGGGACCTGGACATGATGCCGCTCGGGAAATCAACACGCGCATCGATCCGAGCGATGGGTTGGAACCCGCAGAACATCCCATGGGCAGCCTTTTGGGTTTGTTGGGAACAAGACCACAATTTTAAGGTGGTTTTGTGTTGCGTGGGGATGGTTTCCTTTTGGTTTCCCCGTAGACACACACACACACACATCTTCTCAGAGCCTATTTTGGTCATTGACTCGAGACCTCAAAAACAGAGGTCCCTAAAAAAGAGACACACCCAAACAAGGACAGTTTCCTCCACAAAAATACATACCCATTTGTCCTTGGTGCACCCCGCTCCCTTCTGCCGTTTTTTTCTTCTTTTTTCCCCCCGTCATGGTAGACCACTGCCCTTTTGTGCGGCTGTGGACGTGAGGGATCGATCGGAGGGGAAATCGATTTCGCAAGATCCCGCTTGGATCTTGCACCTTGAGCTTTTCGGTTGACCATGTTCCCTCTGCTAGACCCGCTTTTACCAGTGTTTTTTTGGGAGAGACCTGGTTTCCATCATCAATACATCCTTGTTGAGTAGATGGTCGACATGATAATGTTCAATCTTTGAGTTCGGAGACGGCCCTTTTTCGCTTTCCAGCTGGGCATCCTCACCCATCCGAGCTTTTGCCTAAAGTTGTTTCCACTTGGTCTGCCCCCGTAACCTCAAAATACCCGCTTTTAACGGAGAAACCTGGTTTCCATGCTCAATACATCCTTGTTTAGTAGATGGTTGACATGATACCGTGAAAAAGAGGATTTAGAGTAGGGGGTGGTTGAACATGTTCAAGGAACTCTCCGATTGCTTTGGATTTCGGATTTGCACCTCTTCTTGTAGAGGGGAGAAAGGGGTACAGCGCCCCTCCAAGCCCTCGATTCGGCGACCCGCCGGGCATTCGATCTGACGAGCCATCCAAAAGCCCACCCGCCACAAGGACGTTTTTCACCCCAAGAGTGAATCTGGCGGTCTTTTCCTTGCGGGAAACCAGAAAAAAAACAAAAAACAAAACACAAAACAAACGAATGTTCAGAGGTTCTGCCAATTGTGGGTTGGCTCCTTTGGGTTTCCGCGCCACCGTTTTGGAACCTCTTTTTTGGGTTCCCTCCAGTGGATCGAGCGCTTGAAAAACGTTGCCCGCAAAGTCGGGATCGACTTGAGATTCGGGACCATCCGTTTTTTTGATGTGACCCCCCTTGCAAATATGGGGGGTGGTTTCCTTTTGGCCCCAAAACCCCAAAACATAAAAATGAGAAAATGAGATGAAAACAAAAAAAAAGCATCCTCCAAGGGGTCCATTTGGAGAAGACGGGCTTGGTTTTACCGTGCACCGCACCCCGAGCAAGCGGAGCGGAGCGAGGCTGCGCCTGCAGGGCCGCCCCGGCGGCCGCGGCAGCTTCGAGGCGGCCAAGGCCAAGAAGGCGGGGGTCGCGCTGGTCCGACCCAGAACTCCACCCCCCAACCTCCCCCCTCATGACCCGCGGGTGAGGCAGCTCCTTGCACGGAGCAAAAATCGGGAATCGAACATCACACCAGGGACCGGATCGAAAATGAAACAGGTGAGTCACAATCAAAACCGATTCGGGTAGATGAAGGTTAGTAAGGGACAATCCCAGCCATAAATAGAAAGGCGGAAGTCCGCCTTTCTAATTCTTGAAGCATGGTTCTGGGTTGAAAACATTTTCGTACCGGGTTTTGATTGTGACTCACCTGTTTCAATTTCGATCCGGTCCCTGGTGTGATGTTCGATTCCCGATTTTTGCTCCGTGCAAGGAGCTGCCTCACCCGCGGGTCATGAGGGGAGGTTGGGGGTGGGTCCTTGGGGGGGGAGCACCCAAGCAAATGGATGGCGGCACACATTGTCGCTAGGGTGGGATGGCAACATGGCCATGAATTTCGGTTTGTTGAACTGGCCCTACTGCAAATACCACTTTTTTAGGATATCATGTCAGCCCCTTTCTAAACACAAAGGCACACCAAAAAGGTGGGTCCCCCAAAAAAGACAGACCCAAATGACAATCTTACTTCCTGGGTTTCTGGACTTTGGACGGTTTGGGTAAAATATTACACGTTTTTTGCCAACCTACTCAGGAAGTGAGATTTGCTCCCTATCAAGCCTATTTTTGCGGCTTCAGCATCCGGGGAGCTCGCGACAATTTTCCCGAATGAGGATTCCCCTGTAAACACCAACAAACAATGGTTTCCCACGGCTGCAAAGTGGTGCAGGATTTTGTCCATCCACAGTAGCTTAGACTTTTAGATTTTTAGAGTTTGGAGGGATTTGTGAATTATCATATCCCACTAAAAGTTCGCCTGGTTGCCAGGGATCGACTTTTGCAGCCGGGCGCAGGGTGGGGGGGTGGGGGTGGGGGGGTTGGTGGGGTTGGTGGGGTGGTATTGGTGGGTGGGGGTGGGGAGGTTATAATTCAACATGGATCAGGAAGAAGAACCATGTTTCATTTGGCCGCCAAAGTTGTTCCATGTCAATCTGCTGGGGTTCATGTTCCAGAGGAGCTCCGTTTCAGCTCCGTTTCCCAGAGCTGAACAAATCCGTTTTCCAGCCGCTCCACCTTCTCCCTCCTCAACTCGGCAACTCCAAGCGCGGTCTCCAAAATCTTCCCTTAGTCTTCGGGGAAGAGGCTTGGGTTGGGCTTGTGCCTACCCCCCACTCAAAATACCCGCCTTCTTCCGGGTATTTTTGGGGAAACCGATCGGTTTTCCATGGTAAACAGACCTCCTTTTCTTAGTAGAGGCCCTGAAAAAAGGCCGGGTATTTGGAGTAGGGGGTCCCCATATCTCGGCATTTCCCCACCTTTGACGTTCCCAGGCGCGCAAGGGCCGGAAAGCGACTGAGGCAGGGATCTCCTTTTGGTCCCCGGCGAGAATCTCCGTTTACTCGAGAGTTTCTTTGGGGGTGTCTTCTTCGGGACCCCTTTTTCATTGGTGGGTTTGAAGGAACACCATGAGGAAAACGGTTGCGCCAAATTTTGGGGGGTCCGATTCCTGGAAATGTATGTTCATTTTGTGGTGACGAGAACCTCACGTGGAGGGTGAGTGCCCGTTTTTAGTTTGCCTGGTGGGTCATACTGTGGCGTGGACAAAATCCTGTGCCAGTTGGGATAGATAAAGGTTCTTATGATTGGAATTCGTCAGTACTTCCAGTTGGCAAACTGACTCGACTACTTCACGGGTCCGCCCAACTTCCCCTCTTTCAGACATTCAAAGTGGCAAACGCTTGTTGGAACCCAGGAGAAATCCAGTGTTGGGTATTTTCTTCATGTTCGAAGCCCCAGACGCGTCGAGTCGAGAGCAACAGCTGGTCAACTCAGAGGAACCCCCCCTTCTTTGACCGAGAAGCCAACAAGAAGGCAACTTGTTTGGCAGGGCTCCTGAAAAGATACATTTTGCAACCATTTGAAATATGTTGTTTTTTCCACCAAAATAAAGGGAAACCACCATTTACAAGGCAATGTTCAGGTGTATAATGCAAGTATTTCTGTTGTTTGGGTCCCCCTCCAAGACTCTTGGTTTTTCTTGCTGGTGCGATAGGTAGGGAATGAGGGAAGGAACGTGAGGATCTATAGGGGTCATTTCGTCATTCCCTGTTAGTCTCAGGTTGACCCATTCATGTGCGGGTTGGATTGGTTTGCGGATTTGACCCCCTTCCTATCCCCGAAAGCTCCAATTACCTTTTGTTTTCGAGTCTTTTTGGGAAAACTTGGTTCCACGGGTAAGTACCACCTTTTTTGGCCGGGGTTCGTTCACATGATACTGTGGATGGACGAAATCCTGCACCACTTGGAAACCACCATTGTTTATGGGTATTTACAGGCGAATTGGATTTCGCAACCATCCACAGTGTGACCATGGTTATTACCCCCTACCAAGTACAATGCCCCTTCAAGTATGTACAATGCCCCGGAAAACACCTGCCGTCCTGAAGTACGTGTTGCAGCATATGGCTGTGGCTCAAAAACCCGGAATTCCAAAATGGCTTGCCCGATCGGTAAGTGGAAAAACATGGGGACCAACACCTGCGGGTTTGCAAACCCCTCCTGGTTTCATTTTGATTGCCACACCCATATCGCCCCTTTTTCGGTTCGTTTGGCTCATTCGTGACGGCAGCGCATTTTTCCCTTGCCGGGGACGTTTTTTTGTTCGGAGGCGAAGCCGGAGCCCGCGGAGCAGGCCGTTGGCGGGCTTGCGGGTCTCGTTTTTTCCCCCCCCCCCCCATTTTTCCATGTTTTTTCTTTTCTTTTTTACTTGTTTTTTCTTTCCGGAGTTTGGGACCTTCAAGGGGCCCTTCAAGGACAACTTCCTGCTCCCAAGAGAATGATGTTGACCCTTTAAGCAAAAAAGGAGGTATTTACCCTGGAAAACCAGGTGTTTCGAAGAATACCCTGCAAAAAGAGGGTATTTGGAGTGGGGGGGACACGTTTGGACCAGTTTAAGCATGACCCCAATGCCAGCTGAGTTGGGGGATCCGAATTCCTTGCCAAGCAGCTGGCTTTGAGGTGTATCCTTCTACCGAAACACTTCCAGAGTGGCCAGTTTCCTCTGATCGGATTCCGTTGTTGTTTTTCGTTCCTCTGCTTTTTCTGGTTGGGAAGAATGCCTTCAAGACGTCCACTTCCACCGGAAACAGCTGGGGTCAGTAGGTTGACTCTGAGATCAAAGTCAGAAACTGCCCCTCTAGCGTAATGTTCGCCCCGGATTAATATCCCCCTGGTTGATTAATAGGGGGGTGTCCCCTTTTAGTGGTGATTCAGACCACTTTTGGAGGGAACACCCCCTATTTGTGGGACGGGTTTATAAATCCTGGGCCAACATTACCACTGAACCCGGGGCGGGCTTTGGCAAAAGAATTGGAGCCAGGGGCAACGAGCAGTCGGGTTCCGAAGACACTTTTTCAGCTCGCTGGGATGAATGAACAGACTCGACTTTGCAGCCGATCTTCATTGCCAGACTTGATTTTTGCACCCAAAACGTAAAATTCACCCGCTGCTCCACATGAGCCAAAGTCAAAACCCGGGTAGGGACAATCCCAGCCAGAATCAGTTGCGGCCACCTTTGTAGTTCTTTACGTCGGTTTGGGTGCATTTTAATACCGGGTTTTGATTGTGACTCACATACCGCCACTTTCTCTTAGTTGGCATTGTTTGGAAAAACCGATAAAGGTTTTTCATGGTAAAAAACGATTGCTTGTTTGCACGGCATTGACATTTTGGGCTCTTTGGGGGTGTCGGATCCGTTCAATGCGCTGCTGACAGGAGCAGCGTTACATACCGCTGCAGCGGAAGTATGCGGAGTCTTCGAAACAAGTGGGTATTTGGAGCAGGGGGAAAGAGGCCTCTCTTTGGTTGCCAAGGCTTTCTCCCGAAACGAAAAAGGGGGGTTTGTCCTTGGCCAACCGTGCAGCCATGTACGTTGATTGGAACTCCTTGGTACTTCCTTTTTGGTTGTTTAAACTCCGTTCCTTTTTGCTGTTTCGGGTTTTGGCGGGGCTCCCCCTAAAAAGCCACATACCCGCATGGCTCCTTTTGCCTTTGACCTTTGACCTTTGGCGAGGCAACCAGGCTCCTTTCCTTCATTCATAAGACGGGTCCCTAGACTGATGGGTCATCGATGCTTGCCCGCCCTTTGCCTTGCCTTCCAAGATTCGGGCGGAAAGTAGGCACCATGCAAGCGCATGTGCACTTGGCGAGTGGGAAGAGATGCTCCGTTGCACTCTGTTCGCCTGCGTCGAGCATTCGTGGGCTGAAGGCTGAGGCACAACAGCGGCTGGAGCGTGGTCAACAGCTAGATTGCTCATCTACGCTGAATGAGGTGGGCGTGCGGGATGGCGATAGCATTGCGGCCATCGTGCCGGATGTCAATCTAGCTTCCGCGTCAGGAGCATATGAGGAGCATTCGCCGCTCATGCATACGAGGGGCGATGCGGCCCGAGGTGGTGACCTGTTTGCGGAACTAGCACGCCTGATTGGGGGTTGACTTCCTTGTGAAGATGTCGGACGCAACCCCCAACCAGGCTTGCTAGTTCCGCAACCGGGAACTAGCAAATGTCTGAAACTGTTGCCAAAAACGCATGATAGACTTCAAAAAGTTGTGAAGCTTCATGGGGAACTCATTCTAAGGCCTCGGAGATTCAGAAGACTTGTCTTTTTTGGAAGGTCTGGACTGGCAGACTTTTCCTTGGGGCGATCGTGGCGCAGCAGCCAGGTGCGAGAGCAGATCCAGGTAATTGAAAGTGCTTTTGCTGCCATCTCCATGGCGACGTGGGGCCATCCTGCCTGCCAGAGCCATTAGCCTGAATTGCAGTAAAAGCAAAATTAGTTGGCTCTCGCGCAGTGACAGCAGCCAGATGCAGAAGAGCAGTTGGCGCGGGCCCAGCAGATCCAAGCAACTCAGCGCGCCGCTCTGCGGTGACTTGGGGCCATGCTTGGCGGGCGGTGATGGGTGCGCGAGCAGTTGGCGTGGGTCCAAACTGATTTTGCGTCTGCTGCAATCCTGGACTGGCGTTGTTGTCACTTGGCGTGGTTCCTCCGGGGCGGTGAGCAGCCAGACGGGTCAACCACCAGGCAAGTCAACGGGTGGTTCCTGCGTCGGTTTTATTGTAGACGACGGCTTTGTGGTCCTGACTGGCAGTGACAGGGTTGTGAGATGGCTCGGTTTCTGTCGCGCAGCTGTGGCGGCCCAGTGTGTTCCAACCAGCTAGTGGCGGTTCTTTTTGCGCTTGGCAAAAAATCGTGCCGCGGAACCTTTGGTTCAGATGACAAGTTCCATGCCCAACAAGTTTTCTGCCTTTGTCCCCTTTGGCAACCAGGCAAAAGCCTGCTTAGGCACCGCCTTGTGGCCACACCCCCTGGACAACTTACCATTTTGGGGGTCTGAAAAAGAGGAGGGGGTACGCTTCCATGAAGTTCCCCAAACGCCAACCCACTGGAAATGTTTGGGCCGACATTCTAGAGCCCATTTTCTCCACTTCGGACAGTTCGCCGAATTGGTCCAAAAAGTACTGATTGAACTCGCCCCCTCTTCCAAATACCGGGTATGATGTGGACCCCTTTCCAAAACAGGTGTATTTTCCCAAGCCGCCATAAACAGGTTTTTGGAGCACGGGGTAGGGGTACCTGTACACGCTATACTAAAATCCTAAGCCGAAATCCTAAGCCAAGAGTGTTTCAGAGGGCATTTTTATACGTTGGTTTGAAGGGACACCAAGAAGTGCAGGCACAGGTGTTCATTGTTTTTTGTCACGGGCCGTGCCAGCATGCCATCACATGCCCAACATACGTCTGAACATTGTCGTGATTGCATCCTACCTGTGCCCGGCGTACCAAGGAGAGCCCATAGATGAAGTACCGAGCCCAACACGTCACAACAGCAGTTTGCTTTGGGGTTGCCGCTGGATGAGTCTTGTTCTTGCCGAGCATGTGCATTTATTTGTGGAATCATATCTTGCACCGCCCTTACAATAAAATAACACATTCAGCACTCTGTTTCAAAGAACTTAGCGACTGGAGATTTGGCCATGAATGTTTAATAGAAAACCACCTCATTAGAGGTTGGTGAACATGAAACCCCACGTAAAAGGATGCCATTTTGGAGGAAACAACACGCGCTAGCCGCTCGGGGGTTGGACGAGTTTCTTGTGGAATTTCCTCTGCGTTCAAAGCACCTTTAAAACATGCGCGTTGCCCCACGGAATAAAATCCGCTTGTCAAGGTTTGTTGGAGTGCCACATGATTCCACGCATCATTTCCCCCCATGGTGTTGGAGGCAATTTGCTTTAGCCCAAAATCCCATTCTGATCATTGGCCCCAGCTGCCCGAACCCTCGAACTATCGTTTCCCTTGATGGGTAAGACGGGGGGGGGGAGTGGCTGTTCTCGAGGGAAGCCTTAAGTTTGAAGCCCCACGAAGCAAGCCCCGCAACTTGTTTCGTGGGTCTATGGGTTCTGCCTAAAGCGCCTCCTCCAAATACCAACCTTTCTCACAGGTCTCTTTTTTCTTGGTTCATCATATCTCCTTCTTTAGCCAGGGTTACTGGGATCCTCCAGGGGTTGACGCAAGGAAACCAGGAAGATCTGAATCTGTGCGCATCAAGTCGAATCTCCTTTTGGTGTACGGGGCCCGTTTGTGGCCTCAAAGAATCCCGACACCCCATGCTCACTTTTTTGGGCATCGTGTCAACCCTTTCCCAGAACAGGTTCTGTATTTACCATGGAACAAGCCGATCGGTTTTCCTTAAAACATGCCACCTACAACAGGTTCGGGGGGGATTGAAACCACTCTACCCATTGAAGTAGCGAGGTCTCGTTGTTTTTGATGCCCAAGCGCGACAACCATAGGTGTCCGTTTTAGGTTAGTTTGGCTAGTAATAAAAGGGTTCCACTGGTTTAGATGGTTTTTATGCCCCATTTACCCGGAAAACCAATTGTACAATTTTGGGATAGGGCCCATTTTAGTCTATTTTAGTGGGGATTGAATCGGATGTGCACTGGGGGTACGATTTGGGTTTTGACCCATAGCCACTTTGTGCTGCGTAGGGCGACAGCTCCGTGCGAGGAGGTGGACACTTCCTTCCAGTCCTTGGCGAGCCAACTGAGCCCCGCAGAGATCGAGGCCGGGCTTCCGAGTCGGAGGCGAGAAACGCCCCGGCGCCGAATGCCCGCTTCAAACCCCGCAACCTCCAAATACCCGCGTTTTTCAGTTGGCATTTGTTGGACAACCTGGCTTTCCACAGCAAATACCTGCTTTTTTAGTAGAGGGTTGACATCATACCCTAACAAAATGGGTATTTGGAGCAGGGGGAATCCCTCCTTTCTATTTCCGGGTATATCTTCCGAAAAGCCTGGTGGTCCATTTTACCAAAGAACATGGTTGAAGCATCATCCTTTTGGTTGCTCAAGAAGGTCCGGGTCACGAAGTCTCCCCTATTCCGAATACCCGTTTTTTTCAGGGTACTTTTGGAAACGCCGGGTTTTCCGTGTGAACTACCACCTTGTTTAGTAGCGGGTTTGCACGATGCCCAAAAAGGGTGGGGTATGTGGAGGTTTAGGGGGCTCGTCTCGGGTCAAAGAGCCTTCATTTCGCAGAACCTTTGCATAGCTTGGGGTTTACCCAAAGTACGGTCCAGGGCTTCTCGCGTAACCTCCACGTACTTTACTAAGGGATCGGTATATGGAGAACCGATTGGTTCTCCCACCAACAATGCAACTAGAAAAGCCGCCGGGTATTTGGAGCTTTCGGCTGGTCAAGAAATTTGATCGCTAACCCTTTACTCCAAATACCAACGCTTTTTTCAGTCGGTATTGTTGGGGAAACGCTTGGTTGAAACCATGGTAAATACATCCTTCCCTTGAGCAAAGGTTTAACATCATCTTGAACTACATATTAATCAACCCCTGTTTATGAGTAGGGGGGGTGGTTTTTGGCCCCTCCAAAAGTGATAGTTCCCCGCTAAACCCAGGGCCACCCCCCTGCTAAGAGCCAGGGGTTGATGACTATGGCTGGGTCAAAAATGGATACCCTAACGGAAGCCTGGTAAATGGAAAAATGGACCAACACCTGCCTTTGGTCCCTGGTGGTTTAATTTTGGCCCATACCCATATGGGAATCCTGCACCACTTGGAAACCGTGGGAAACCATAATGTTGGGGAATCGAATCATTCCTAGGCTTCTGAACGATGGTGCGAAACGAATTTCGCAACCATCCACAGTTCTAGTGCCACCTTCCCCATTCTTTCCAGGGATCCGAATCTTTCTAGAAAACCTCCGGAAACCCAGGGAAACGGATCCGGTTTTTGCAAAAAATAAGAGCGATGGTTTAAAAAAAAAAAAAAAAACGGAAAAGGAATCAACCGATAGAAAAGTAAGTGTGTGCTGAGCCCATGTTTTTTTCCTCAAACTGAAGGGACCGATGGCTCCAACCTTTTGGCTTTCTTCTTGGTCTCCCATTTTGAGATTCGTGGCAAGCATGATCCGGGCTCCTCAAAAGAAATCTCCATTTTGCCACCACTTGAAACATGTTGCGCCTTTTCCGTACCAAACTAAAGCTGGGTTTCCACCATTTGCAAGTTGCAATGTTCGATCGGTGTATAGAATGCATCCGGATCCCAGCAGGATCCACCTAGCTTCCCCTGAATCAGTTCCCCCTTTTACTTTTGTGTCCCCTTGGTTTTCCCCTAACCAGGCAAACAAAATGCATTTTTTTGGCTGGGGCCCCAATTCCAGCCCAGACAGTAGGGGGTCGTTACGTCACCAACGAAGCCGCTCCGGGGCATTTTTTTTGGCTTGTGATCCGGTGGGACGAGAAGGGGCGATTGTCCCGGGCTCTTTGCCCGGGCTTGTCCCTTAATACGGGCACGGTCCCGGCTTCGCGAAGCCCGGGCGAGTCCCGAAAAATACCAAGGCTTAGGTCAGTTGGTACGAGTATCGTTTTGGAAGAAAAGACACATCAGGTTTTTCAGGGTCATTGCCTCCTTTTCTTTGGTCAACATCAGATCTTTCAGGGTCATTGCCTCCTTGTTTTTAGTCAAGGGTTGACAAAAAGTGGGTTTTGGCTGTAGGGGCTTTGGTCGAACTACTTGGTTGACACCATGGTAAATACCCATCCCTTCAGTAAAGGTTTGACATACCAGCCAACAAAAAAGGGGCTTGGTATGTGGAGGTGGGGATAGCATGTTCAGCTTTGGTCTGGTCAGTTGGTCCAAATCTGATGGCTTTCTTCAGGGGCTGGTCCCCTTTTTCCCTCCAAAGCTTTGGTCTGAGATCTTCGATTTAGAGGGCTGGTTGGTCTTTGGCTTTGGTGATCCGGGCTGGTATTTAGAGGGCTGGTTGGTGATCCGGGCCAAACCAAAATGCTCCCGCTGTGGTCAGAGGGGTCGTTCCTGAGATCGTCGGTCTGTTCGTCTTGCAGGCGATGATCCTACAGACGGACGCCAAGGCAACTTCTCGCTTTCGCGAGACCCCCGAGACCAAAAAAAACCGCCACAAAGGAGCTGACATGAGTCACCGCCCTGCCTGAAGTCACCTGGAAATGGGCGGTTGTCGTTTTTCTTCTTTTTCTTTTTCTTCTTCTTCTTCTTTTCTTCTTTCTGGTGGAGGCATTCCCTGGCCTTTTTTGGAGGGATGTTTCTTTTGGACAGTGGGGGATGAGTTCTTTGAGGGTAGTTTGGGGGGTCCAAGATGCGAAACAAGCCCTTGAGAACGGGTGCCCAAATACTAAGAGGGAAGGCAGCAGTTCGAGAAACCTCCCTTTTTAGAGCTCCGCCAGAACTCAACCTCCAACCATCGACGCTTCTTTTAGTGGGCATTTTTTGAAAAGCTGAATGTGGCAACAAGCATTGTACAATAAGAAGAATCCGGGGACTTGGTGACTTTCTTCTGCTGGCGCTTTGGGGTTCAAGGGTACCCGCTTTGCTCAGTTGGTATTTTTGGGGAAACCTTTGGTTTTCCCATGGCAACTACCACGCCTTTGCTAGCAAAGGGGTGACATGATCCCTCCCCCCCCAAAAGAAAAGAAGAAGAAGAGAGAGCGGCAAACGCACACAAAGCACGGGCATTGGGAGGTTCCGGGGTTGGCTCCTACAGTTTGATCACCCATTTGTTCCAAGAAGCTGCTTGCCTCGCGGGTATTTTGGAGGCGATCCGCAAGGCGCCGGTCGTTTGGTTTTCTGGGTTCGAGCTCGCCGGCTGGCTTCTCCTCTCCCCCAAAGCGAGCGCTTGACCTCCCCAATTCACCTCCGGCTTCGGAAGCTCGGGTTACCAGGCCCTGTAACCTCCCAATTTCCCGGTTTTTGGTTTGGGTATCATGTTAACCCTGTACTAACGGAGGAGATGTTCCAGGATGTGAAACAGGCCTTGAACAAAAAAATAAGCTGGTATTTGGAGTAGTGGTAGGGGTACCTTACCCATTCTGAATCCAGGGATGCTTGCTAGAAACCTCCGAAAACCCAGGTTCACAAAGGGGACATGGTATATGCTGGATGATGAGAACGAAAGGTGCTTGGTGTGCTGCGGCACACGAGTATGGGATTGCGGGATCGCGCGGTGTGGCTTGTGTCAACAGAAATGAATCCCGGGTGATAGGGTATGGGTGCACATCAGGAGATGCACGCAAGATGGGGTGCGAAGATGCGGGAAGTCCCCCCATTTCTTTTGGCAGAATTCTCATGGCCGACTCATGGGCCCATGAAGCTGTCTAAATAAGTCATGGGGAGTCCAACAAATTGGATTTTGGTCCGCTATTTTGCCTTTCCTTTCAAAGCCCACCAAAAGGAGTTCCCCAACAAAATGATGGACCCGTGGTCAAGAACATCCGGTTTCCTTCTGGCTTGAAGGCAGGTGAAGGGGTGGTTTAGGAAGACACACCTACTGGAACTCCAGGGTTTGATTGCGTGCGCGCTGCAAGCCTTCAGGCGAAGAAGACCCGAAAGCCCCGGCAGAAGAAGAAGAAGGCGACCTGAGACATCTGGGAGATCTGGGTAGCGATCGGGGTCGCCAAGTGGATTTTAGTGCCGCAGACGTCACTTTGCGAGATCAACCATAGTCAACCACACCATAGTGACAGTTCACCGCAGATTTGGGGTCCAGAAGCAAACCCGCTCGTTGCCAGCCAATGCTAGGGCGCGCTCAGCGATCCAAGGGCTGCTTCGCGATTTCGCGATGCTGAGCACTGGGATCCACCTGGATCGCCAGTTGCGATCGCTTTCTTTCCATGAACTTTACCCCAAAAACCAGCGACACTGACTGGAAAAAAGAAGAAGACGCAACTTGGCGATCGAGGCAGTTCTTATTTCAGGTTCGATCAAGTCTGGTCAGTGTTTCGACCAACATGGCCCGGTTCAACTGAGGTCATTCGTTGCTTTTCGTTGGCTTAGCGGTTTGGGTTCAGGTCCACTTTTTGCAGAGAAAACAAAATGACCGCCCGGTGAAATCAACCGGTTCCAAGCTTGCGGCTTGAGGCCCCTGGGGACATGTGAAGAGTGCAGTGAAACTTCGATCCCCCTTAGATGCTTCTTTTGAGTAAACCATGTGAGTCACAATCAAAACCCTGGTAAAAGGTTAGCAAGGGGCAACCGCAGCCATAAATGGTTGCGGTCGCCTTTTCGATTCCTTACATGGTTCTGGGTTCACCATTTTGGTCCCGATCGGTTCTGATTGTGACTCATGTGGCTGGTCGAAAATAGGGTAAATGGGTTGCCCTAAATGGAAAGATGGACGAAGAGCTGCGGTCCTTTTGGTTTAGTTTGGACCCATACCCCAAACCGCTAAGAAAAGTTGGCAAAAACCTGAAAAAAACCGGCCTGTGGATGGGTCAATCTTTTTCCTGCGGCCTGAAGCCGAGCCCTCGAAGCCAGGAGGCCGAAGAGGTCCCGAAGCTCGAGGAAGGTTTTGGTCGGAGTTGCGGCGGTGCGGCGCGAGGGAAGTGGCCCCCGGCCCCCCCCCCGAGTCCCGGAAAGCTCCAAATGCCCTCAGGGCGTTTTGGTTGAGTTTTTTTTTTTTTTTTTTGGGGGGGGGGGCGCGCGTGTGTTTCTTTTTCTGGACCAAGCAGTGTTTTTTTTTTGTTTGCCAAAGGCCTTCTTATTTTGTAAAGACATGATGGAAGACCCGACCCCGAAGCATTAGACACCCCGGGAAGTGGTGGCTTGTTTTTAAAGACCAGGTGGTAAGGCCCTAACTTCGAATCGAATCGGAATCTCCGGGCGGGTTTGCCTGAAACGACCGGGAATTGGTTGGTCTCAAAACCAGGTTCTTTGAGAGGCCCCTCCAATCGAATTGGAGCCTTTGGGTGGGGCTTCGGCTCCAGAGATCCAGGAGCCGAAGATGCAGATCGAAGCGGAGCCGGAAGCGGAGGCGGAGGCGGAAAGCTTTGGGCGGGTTGTTGGAAAGCGGTTGATGGGTGGGGGGCTTTTTGGGGGTAAAGGGGCTTCCCAACAAGGGTACCCTTTGGCGTCTCTTCAACGCCAGGTGCTACAAGGGACCCTCACAACCCCGAACCAACAAGGCAACAAGGGTACTCCCTCAAAACCACAAAATAAATCATCCAACCGGTGGTTTCCTTTCTTGTGGGGAACCCCCGAAACTGGTTCATTCCAACTCACTCCCCACCGATTTCGCACCCGCCGATTGCACGTTCCGGAGACCCCGCGATCGCTCCGTTCAGCATTCAAGGAGCCCGCGGAGATTGAGCCGGAGGCGGAGGCGGAGGCGAGACCGTCGGGTAGAGGTAACCAAGGCAAGTGAGCCACAATCAAAACCCGGCCAAGTGAAGGTTAGCAAGGGACGATCCCAGCAATAGCTGCGGCCGCCTTCTCTGTTCTTCATTATTATTATTTTTTTTGGAGGGGGTTGGTCGCTTTCTCTTGATTATGGGGGGGTGTCAAGTTGTCAAATCTCTTGCTTGGAGGAACAAGGGGTCCCCTCGAAGGAAACTGTTCACCTGCAGGACACTTTTTGTACAAGGACAGACATGTACATCGCAGGAATTTTGTTTTTGTCATTTTTCCCTCTTGCAACAACTTTGCGGTGTTCTCCCGTTGATCGGAAGTTGGCGCTCAAGAAAATTTGGCCGGGCCCGGCAACCCAGCTTCTCAAGCAAAAGGAGAATGCCTTTGTAGAGTTTAAGTTCTCGCGGGTTGACTCAGCTGTTCCGTTTCGCGAGATCACCCAGTAAGGGATCCTTCATTTCGGGAGAAGGGGGGGGGTCCGCAACTTGGGCCCTCAGAAGTTGGTGGGGATTCTTGGGCCCAACTGCTTTGGAGCTTCCCTAATTACAAAGTTCCCGGCCTCTGGGTTTGGACAACACTTTTTCAGTTGGCGTCCTTTTTCTCTCAACGAGACACCTAGATAGCCAAGTTGCTTTTTTGCCTTTTTTTCAGTCACTGTTGCGATCGGTTTTTGGGGTTCATGGAAAAAAGCGATCGCAACTGGCGATCCAGGCATTTCACATCTCTTTTTCCTGCTTTAGCCGAGCCTTGTCGAAATCCAATCGGTAACATGGGCGACTCCGCAGAAAGGGGGTCTGAAATTGTTGCTCGCGGCTCGGTGTGCGGAGATCCAAGATCCAAACTGGGGGCGGTGTTCTCTAGGAAACTCCACCCGTTTTGGGTCCCGACAAGTCCGACTTTTTTCTCCGATGGCCGTACGCTCATTGGACCATGTTGCTAAACAAAATGGTATTTGCCGCAGAAAACCGATGAGTGTTCCCCAAACCTGCAAACTAAAAAGCCCAGTTTGACAGCCACCTTCAAACAACCAGATTTTCCAAGACACAACAATCTTTGGAGCCTTCGGGGGCCAAGTCCAACCGAGTCCAATAGGGACGACGAACAGGCGGACTCCACCGAGGCTCGACCTTTTTGCTTTCAGGTTGAAACTTCCCGGCTCGGAGCTCAAACTTTTACCATCCCGGATGTCCAAACACTGCCACCCTTGACTAAGAAACTGGACCCCCAAAGGACCCCAATCTTTTTTCTACCTTTGTACCAACCTTTTTTTGGGGTCCTTTGGCAGAAAACAAATTGGGGTCCTTTGGGGGTCCAGGAAAATAGGCGTTTTTACCATGGATCTCACCGGTTTTCCTAAAGCTGCCAGCTAAAAAAAGCGGGTTGAGATTGAATGGCCAGGGCCGACAAGCTTCCCGGCTTCGCCGATCTCCGAGTTGTTTACAGAGGTTTGGTGGGGGCTTCGGTCACTTTTCGGGGGTTGCCAAATACCGATCCTTGTTTAGGGGTTCTGCCAACTGGAAAAACGTGGGTTCAGAGGCTTGACATCATGCCCTGCATAATGTTGACCCCCTATTAATCAACCAACCAGTTGATGAATAGGCGGGTGTCCAACTGGGTGAAAAGTGGGGGAATCAGACCATTATCAGAGGGGCCAAAACCCACCCCCTATTGATTTAGTGGTTGGTTGAAATTCATATGGGGTCTACATGACCCGGAAAACAAGGGGTATTGTGGGGGGATGGGTATTTCGAGTGGGAACATGACATCATGCCCTGCATATCCGGAGTAGAACAAAGCAACAAACAAAAAAAGCACAAAACACACACACACACACAAAGCAAGCAGCAACAAAAAAAGGGATCTTGTAGGGGGGATCTTCTTGGTCAGGTTGCGGAAGAGGTGCCGCCGGCAGCAGAGGAGGATGCGGAGCAGGACACACATACTGTATCGGCTGAATCTACGGGCCCAGACCGGTGAGGTCCCCCAGTAGCGCCCTTTTGCCGTTCTTTGGGGAGTTCACCAACCATAACTCTTCCCCAGAATTCGTTTTCCCCCTTTTTGCTTTTCTTTCTTCTTTTTTTTCCGCTTTTTTGGGGTTCCCTTTGTTTTCCACTAACCAGGCAAAAAAGATAATTTTTTGCCGGGGTCCCAATTCCAGCCCATAATTTTGGTTGGCACCAACTCCCATTTTCCCGAACAGAAGCAGCAATACGTACAAAATCCGAACAGCACGTCTCCCGTCCTCCCCAACTTCTGGTCCCCCAGCTAGGTGCCCTCTCTTTTACCCCCTTCTTTGGTTGGGAGGGTTCCCCTACTTTAATTCAGACTACAGAAAAAAGAAACGGTACCCTTATTCTAAGCTCTCTACTGGAGGACCTAGCTGTGGAGCGCATGGAAACCATGGGATTGAAACCACCTGGATCGCCAGTTGCGATCGCTTCTTTCCATGAACTTTTCCCCAAAACCGATCGCAACAGTGACTGAAAGAAGCGATCGCAACTTGGCTATCTAGGCAGTATGCGCTCATCAGAAATCAGGTCTTCTTAGGTGGCGCGAAATGGATTTCGTCCATCCCCCGTATTGCAGCGCCCAAACCGACTCCTCCTGGGCATTTTGAATATAGGTGGTTTTGCTATCTGGGTTTTTGATTGGGAGAACGGTGCAGCTCTTTTTCATGAAGCTTTACAAGAATGTAAGTCAGATTGGGGTTTGGGCGCTCCTACAGCTTGTATTTTTCACCGGGGACCCCTTCAAACTTGTGATCAAACCCCCCATGGGTTCATGCTGTCCCCAGGACCCCTAGTTCAACTTCACGACCCTCAGACGCTTATGCCTTGGATGGCCAGTTGCGATCCCTTTCCATGAACTTTGCCCCAACCGGCAACAGCTGAAAAAGGCGATCGCATCTTGGCGATCTAGCCACCTGTGGATGGACCAAATTCTGCACCACCTAAGAAGCCTTGGAAGGATGATTCTCCTGCAAATACCAATGAACAATGGTTTCCCATGGTTTCCAAGTGGTGCAGGATTTCGTCCATCCACAGTATTCTGGGGAAAAAATGGTGAGTTGCGGCACCCAAGTCGTTGCCCACTTCGCCGACGTCAAGTTGGAAAGGGCCGGAGCGGAAGGCCCTTTCGCGCGGGAGTTGGGATCGTTTAGGGAGGAAGCCAAAGGGAAGCTCAATATTCGTCACTTCTGACTCAAAGCAACTCAGAATCATGGTATGCAGCCTAAACTCCGGCATGGGCTGTTTGAACGAAGTCTTGGCGTACTACTTTAGTCTACTTTAGTTTTAGTTGAGTAGTAGTGTATTCAAGTTATGAGTTCTGCATACCTAAGCAGCAACTCTGTTGACTCAGAGTAGCGTTCCGACCTGCCCGAGGGGATCTCCATTGCTCAGTGTTTCGGCCTTGCTTGACTTTGATAACGCCTTAGTAAAAAAGGCCTGCGCCCTTACTCTGGTTTGTCAGGCGTCCTTGGTGCCATTGGGGGAGTTCGCCGAAAGGTCTGCGTGTGTTACACAACGGCCTTGCTTACCCCCAAATAGTGGCTCGTCCCTTTTCAGGGGTGACCCCCTTTTTTGGATCCCTTTTCTGAGGGATCCGGCATCAAAAGGACACCCACAATCTTTCGGGTTGTAAAGGAGTCGGTACCCTTGGGTTGGTCTTTCATTTTTCGGGATCCGAAACCAACAGTTGAAACACCCCGAAACCAGCGCCATTCTGTTTAAGGGAAGCCAAAAGTTGACAAGTCCCTTGCCCCTTAGTTTCAACGGGCCTTATTATTTTTTGCGACACCCACGAGATTCCAACTCTGAGAAGCGCAGTTTCTTCTTCTATTTGTGAACATATTTTTTCCCCTTGTTGATGTTAGAAGGAATGTATAAAACTACTGGACATATTTTCTCATTTTTTCCAGGGGGTCTGAAACCAAAGGCGGGGGATTCCAACTCAAGCATCGCCCCGCTTTCGCCTTGCGAGGAGCCTTGCGAGGTGCCTGAGGCGGCGGAATCCATCAGCTCGGGGGCCTAGGCTCAGAGAGGGGCATTGTGTCGGTCAACTCTGAGAGTTGAAGTTGAGCAGCTCACAATGAACCAACCCTGCACCAAGATTTCAGAAAGTTGAGAGTTGAGAGTTGAAATATCGAAGATCGGGGTTGTGGTTTGAAATGGAATCCACGAATCAGAGATACCAAAACAAAATGCCGCACCCCGAAGACTCTCAGCTAGAGGGGGAGAGTCCCGAAGATATCACGGAAGTGGCTGGACAAACCTCGGGTGATCCCTCAACCTTGTCTAAGATGACTTCCACTGCCCCCGAACCGAAGCAACCCACAGGGGTTTAGTGGGATATACAGACACCAGACACGATAAAAAGCGTACATACCCCAATTACCCTGCAAGGTAGTGGTTTGGGGGTAGTGGAGAATACCCACTTTGGCCTTTTTTGGATGGTATGATTTGTCGACCCTCTAAGCAAGGATTGGTATTTATGATGGAAAACAAATTGGCCCCCCAAAAATACTCTAAAACAAAGTGAGTGTTGGGTGTAGGGGGCAGGTGTCGACTTCCTAGGTCCAGTGAAGGATACCGACTGGACCCAAATGCTACCCAAATGACCCTCCCAAGTTGTTTTTTGTTATAGCTCAATAGATGTCGACCTTTTCCAATGGGCTACCCAAATGCTACTCAAAAGCTACCCAAGCAGAGCCTTGTTTTTTGAAGGGGCACGTAAACACTGGAAGCGTTCTTGTTCGGAAAACAGGGCCCAACTCAAGCATAGGTACATTCTTTTGGTCGGTTAGTTTGGGTAGACATAGGTATCGGACTGCACTGGTTTAGAAATCAGTTTTATGCCAGAAAAGCCACCTGGATCGCCAGTTGCTGCTTTTTTCCATGAACTTTGCCTCAAAAACCAGCAACAGTAACTGAACAAAGTAGCAACTTGGCGATCTAGGCCAT